TAGTTTCACACCTATATATTCTGCACATAGTGCAAAACTCTGAGATTCCTCAGTTGGTCCTGTGTAAACTCCAAGCTAAAATTATGAAAAATCTAGTTCCTATAGCTCAGTGGCTTAAAGCATTAATTATACAACGGAGGGTGTTAAATGAGAGCCTGCCCTCCATGAAACCGTGGAGGATTCTGACAGAAATATTGCCCCAAAAGCTTCTCCCCTGACAGCTACAGCGCTCTGATATTATATTCATTTAAATACATTAAATCATCACTAACACCCGTGGAAGTGCAAATCCATTCTATTTTCTGTTACACTTATTTCAGACTTATTTCTGGCTTTCAGACTCAGCTCTTAAATCAATAATCATTTAGATGAGAAATTAGTGATAGAAGCCTGGCTCTACCCGCATGGGAAGCAGAGCCGTGGAAACAGAACGGAGCAAGTTAAAAGGAGTGATGTGGAAAAAAGCTCCCAACTTTATGGAGGTAACTTCTTGCCTTTCGTTGTGAGAAGTTTAGCCTGAGGTCATACCTCTCAAATCATTTCTGCATGGATAAATCCTTCTGGTGTATGTGCTCTGTATGCGTCACCTGGAAAATGTTGGAGAGGTCTCGCAAGTTAAAGATGTAGTGGAACTTGACTGCGGTGGGGAGGAAGGCGGAGGAGACGCGCTGGTGCAAGGCCAGGGCTAATTGCACAAGGGTGGAGCAGCTCTTCTGCAGGGCAGCACTGAATCCCTCTCCTCTCAGGTGCTGAGACAGAATGGAGGTGTAGATGGTGCTCAGGGCCTCGGCTCCGGGAAACGACAGGGCAAAAACTGAGAAGTGGCGCTATAGAGGGGGGCAGAGCATAAAGGAGGCAAGAGTAAACACATGTTTGTCACTTATTATGCAGTCGGTTTGCTTCCAGAACGAAACCAAGGGTCACCTTGTGGGTGTTTGCAGCAATAAGTGAAGAAAGGCTGTCACTCAGTCAAGAATGACTTTAGAATTTAAATATGACAGAGTGAATGTCTGGGTGTGCAAAGTGTGTGACTTCAGGTCAGTCAGAGTTTGTGTCTATAAACAAAAGTCATTTTTAATCTAACTGCAGAGGATAAGGTCAGAAATAATCTGCATTTAGCCAAGAACCAAAACTTTCATTTATTAAACAAAAATGTCCCTCATACTATTGGTTGTCTGCTGCTCCACAACAAGATAAAGAAAATTAAGTGCTGTGAGAAATTATCGTCACTCAAATTTTAATATTAGACAAAGATAACCCAAATTAATACTAAATGCAGTTGGTAAATAATTGCATCTATAAGGAGGGAAAACAAGCGTGTAATCAAACACAATTAATCAAAGTCCAGACTTAAATCTGATAGAGATGTGTTGTCATGACCTTAAACAGGCCCTTCATGCTCAAAAATCCTCCTGTGGTTGAAATAAGACAATTCTGCAAAGAAGAGTGGGCCAAAGTTCCCCCACAGCAATGTGAAAGACTCGTTGCCAGTTATCGCAAATGCTTGATTGCAATTCGCTGCCAAGGGTGACACAACCAGTAATTAGGTTTATAGGACAATTACATTTTCCCATAGGGCCTGCTCGGTTTGTAAAGCTTTTTCCCCACTTAATAAATTGAAATATTCCCTGGAGCAGCAAGTGTATGTTACTCCACAGTTAAAAACAGTCCCTAAAAACATTAGTATTTACACCTGCTCTCTCATTCCACAAAGTTCGTTTTTAAAAAACATCAGAGACAGACGGAGTGTTTTACTCTCCTACCCATCACGTCTGCAGCACTGATAGTACAACTGCTGGAAATCTCTCCTGCTGAATCACCTCCTCCTGCCCCTAATAAAGTTCACTAAATACCTTCAGATCGTTGATCTCTCTCGTCTTTAACGCTGTAGCCATGTACCAAAGTTTGCCCCCCAACCTCTTCATTGCAGGCATGTCTCACTAACTTTTCTACAAGCTGTTTCAGTGACCTACCGTCATCTGTTCTTTTTCTACCAGAGGAAGCAATCGCAACAGTATCGAAAAAAATTCAGTCCAACAATCTTCCCTACAGTTGAGCATTACACTCTGGACCTGAATGTTCTGTGAGAACTTTTTGATGTTCATGCTAAACTCCTTTTAAATTGGAGTCTGCAGCATTGTTCTCTTATCTAAGCCCTGCAGCTGTTGATCTACTCCTTCAGATATGATGCTAGCTACAAAATCATTTAGTGACAATACGGCAAACAATGCTCAGTCTCACTCTGTGTTTTGATTCTTTCACTTATTAAATTCTTGATCTTCGACAGATGTTTGTTTTACCACATTTACAGCTTCACTGGTACACCTGTCTATCCTCTCATTCTCACATATGTTCTGCCTTGATCCCGCTCTTCTCTCCACAGCATGCCTCCACCTTCATCAACACACTGAAAGCAAACATTATATCAACTGGACCAGCCACCTTTCTGTTCTCCATGCACTTCAAAGCTGCCCTCACTTCTGCTTACTAATCCTCTCAACATTTTCTTTATTCAGCTCCACTCATCCATATGTACATTTCCATCTGTCTCCTTAATCTTCCTGGCCAGCTGCATATCTTTTCCAGCTCAGTTTCTGTGCCTCACCAATTCTTACAGGCCCTTTTCTCTCTCCTTATGTCCAGCCTCACATATAACTCACCATAATCCTTTAACCACCTCTCTCTTTACCAAGCCTCCCAGTAGTCCTGTCTACTTTCTTCATCTCTGCTTGTTCCACTTTTTATTTGCCAGCATCTTCTTTTAAATAATCCTTTACTTCCTTATTCCTCCAATTCCATTCCAAGTCTCCTGTCCTATTTTCTCTGTGCAGAAAATACTCTAAACACCTTCTTGGCAGGTTCCCTCACCACTTCAGCTGTACTTTCACAGTCTTCTGATAACTCTTCCCTACCACCCAGAGCTCGTCTCAGCTCCTCCCTGAACTCTGCACAATATTAGTAACAGTAAAGCAAGTAGAATAAAATTTTATTTTTATAGCACCTTTCGAGACAAAGCTCATAAAGTGCTTCACAACAGAGCCAGAGCATTAAAAGATTTATTTTTCAACTACCACCCTTTAATCATTGCGTCGACTTTCCCTCGCTTCCTCTTCTTGATTTCCAAAGCCAACATCCAAGGTTGCCTAGCTACACTCTCCTCTGACACCACCTTGCAGTCTCCTATCTTTTTTACACCGCACCTTCTGCAGAGGATGCAGTTTACCTCCCACCACTCTTATATGTTATCCTGTTTTCCACACTCTTCCTGAAATATGTGTTCAACACAGCTATTTCCATCCTTTTAGCAAAATCCACTGCTATCGGCCTGTTTACATTCCTCTCCTTAACCTACCCAACAGCTCCTCGTCATCTTTGTTCACTTCACGTCCACTGAAGTCTGGTCCAGTCACCACTCTCAGTCCACTAGTGATACTCTCTACCACTTCATTCAACTTACTCCAGGACTCCTCTTTCTCTTCTAACTGACATCTAACTCGCAGGGCAAACCCAGTGACAACATTCACCCTTCAATTTCCAGCTTCTAACTTCTGATCCTGTTTGGCACCTTTACAACACTATTCACATACTTTTCCTTCAAGATTCCTACTCAACGTCATATCTACACCATGACAGAACAGTTTGAATCTACCGCCAACGCTCTTGGCCTTGCATCCCTTCCCAATAATACATCTACTAGAGGTGGGAATCACCATACATCCCACGATACGATATTATCACAATACTTAACGCACGATACGATATTATTGCA